CAGCTCACCATGCCTGCAGAAAACACGGTCATACCAGGGACAGCCCGTGGCACTGGTGGTGCCATCGATGTGCAGGAAGGGACAGTCCTTGTTGCCACACTCACCTGCAGGAGTAAAGGGTGGGACGGGTGGGACAAAGCTCATCCAAGCCAAAAGTGCTCAAGGATGGGCTGGGTGGGGGGAACAGAGGTGCCCCGGGAGCACCCAGGCTTGTTTTGGGGAACCATGGGTGCCGATGGCATTTCTTCCCACAGACAGGAGGTGGCATCAGGTACTTGCTGGAGGCCAGACCCGAGGGACGGGGGTGGTGGGGGGGGGGAGAATCTCATTGGGGTCCCCAGCCCGGGCTCACACCTACCGAATTTGGAGTAGAAATAGCACTGGGGCATCTTGGTCACGTCGTACTCGTGGAGGAAGTCACAGCCATCACCCTTCTTGCAGAGCCCCCGCAGCCAGTGCTTGCACACCACCGGCTTCTCCCTGCCCACGCGCCGCACCGGGCAACGCACGCCTGGCCCTGGCACGGACCCGCTGTCAGAGCTCACCCACATCCCACTGACCCCCACCATCACAGCCCCCAGCACCCAGGAACCCCCCACCTCCTTGGATTGGGATGTGCTGGAGCTTTCCTGGATGTGGAGGAGATTCGCAGCGCCCTCTGAGTGCACAGGGCACGGTCCACTGGGCACCACCAAGGTCTTCCAGCCCCCCCAGTACAGAAGGGGTAGGAGAACTGGTCCAAAGGGGCCGGGAGAACAATGGACTCTGAGCAGTGTTAGGATTTCAGGCCAAAACCTGCCAACCCACTGGCCATGGGGCTACAGGGCAATCTGCCACAGATGTGGGCTGGCCATAGAGCAGAGAGGGGACCCGGCCAGCTCCCTGGTGTCCCCAGGGTCTTGCAGGGTGGTGGTGGCCCCATCCCCACCACTCCCCAGTGCTCACCCTTGGAGCACAGCCCTCGGTGGAAGAGCTCACAGACTGGCAGGGGGAAAGCAGAGCAGGGAGACCTTCACCCACTGGTCCCAGTGCTGGGACCACCCTGCCACTGGGGGCACAGGCACCCTGTCCCCCTCCACCAGCAGTCCCCAGAGAGCTGTGCCCAATGGAGCAGTGCCCAAGCCATCCTGGGCAGGAGCCCAAGGGGGAAGGCAGGGCAAGAAGCACCCAGACATTGTGGTGGGTGCAGTGAGAGCCAGGAGCACCAGATGAGGAGGAGAACCCCAACACCTCCCACCCCCCTGTCACCCTCCAAGGATGCCACAGGACCCTGTCCCCAACTTACTGTCCGTACCCAGGAAGGGCAGGGGCTGAGCTCCTCGCTGCTGCTCCACATCAGCCTCCAGCTCAAACCTGATCCTCTCCACACCAGCCACCAGCTCCTGCATCTCTCCTGCTCTGCTGAGAGCCACCTCCAGCCCAGCACAGGCAAGAAACAGGGCTACAAAGGGGCTGGTGGAGGAAACCACAAATCTCCCAAGGGAGCACAACACTCTGCAGGTCACCAGAGCCACCCTGTGGGGACCCTGTCCCCAACTTACTGTCTGTACCCAGGAAGGGCAGGGGCTGAGCTCCTCGCTGCTGCTCCACATCAGCCTCCAGCTCAAACCTGATCCTCTCCACACCAGCCACCAGCTCCTGCATCTCTCCTGCTCTGCTGAGAGCCACCTCCAGCCCAGCACAGGCAAGAAAAAGGGCTACAAAGGGGCTGGCAGAGGAAACCACAAATCTCCCAAGGGAGCCCAACACTCTGCAGGTCACCAGAGCCACCCTGGGCCCCAGCAACACTCAAAAACCCTCCTCCTCCTCCTCCCCAAGCCAGAGCAAAACCAGCCCAGGCAGCAGCCAGAGCGCTCCATTTACAGAGAGAGAAGCTGCCCCACATCTGATCTCAATTTGCAGCCGTGATTGCCTGGTGCTGCAGCCCAGCTGCGGGGAGAGCTCAGCCCCGGGGCCCCCATCA